ATCTTAACAATATAAAACTGTAAAATATATTGTACTCTATTAATTTAATTATTTGACCACTTAATATTAGTTAATTAATTAACTAAATTAATAATAAATTAATAAATTTAGTATAAAATTACACAATTGTTAATAATTGGAGGTTTTATTATGAGTCTTAAATCTTTCTCTAATGATGTTCAAAGCTTTGGCGAGGGCTTTGCTGAGGGTTTTAAACAGGGAATCAATGAGGTAGAAAAGGCGTATGAAAGCGCTTTTTCTTCAATAGCTAGTTGGTTTAAAGGCAACATTAAATCAGCACAGCCATCACAGTTATCTAAACCTATAGACAACACAGAACACCCTGAAGTTTCAAAACCCATTAACATTAAAGTTAGTGAGTATGATCATACTTCACACCCGGAATTATCTATTGAACCTCTGGAGCAGCATGCACACGACATATTTTAAAGATCTTTAAAGGGATTTTTACAAGAGTTTTTAACTTTTCTTCAATCTACAAAGACTAGACCCCCTGCGAAACAACATAAAGAGAGTTGCTGATAAAATCCGGTAAGGAACCCCCAACCCGAAAGCTATTAAAAACCGTGCCTTAGGTTCACAATACCAGCAATAATATTGAATCTCATGTTGTATTTCTTCTGAAAATTGCGGTAAACATTTGATATAATTTTGAATATTTTGATCTCGCGAATTTTATTTTCCACTCGCATCCTGAACGACGCCAGCTTTCTATTATGCTCCTTTTGCTCTTCCGTTAGTGGTTTTTTCCGGTACCTTTTATATGGAATTACTACATTACTTTGAACTTTTTGCCATCCTTGATAGCCGGAATCAGCGTGTTTTATACTATCTCTTGGCAGCATTTTCTCCTGTTTTCTTATGCGAAAATCGTGCATTCGACCTCGATGCGACTTTGAAACCGACAAGATTTGCCCACTTTCTTCGATTATAATTTCGGTTTTTATGGTCGTTGTTTTCTTTTTGCCAGAGTAACTTTTTTTACGTTTTTTGCTGTCTTTTGGTCGCTGTATCGGCTGTTCTGTAACATCTGCTAAAATCTTCAAAATCCTTTCGGGCGTTAAGGTTCTATCCTTTTTTATGGTAACTTTTTTTGCCAACAATGGCTCCATTTTCTTCAGTAATCGGCAGATATTTGAGTTGTGCAAATTGAATAAAAATCCCAAAAATGGATGTGTTATGTACGTTCTATAATAAATGAGAACGCATAATATTTTGTCTTCTAGTGTTTCAACGTGCGATTTTCTTCCGTGACATTTCTTTGTTGCCTCCATTTTTTCCCACTCCGGCCTCACTTTTTCCACGATTTTTTCAAATTCTTCTGTTTTTAGACCCGTTAATTGTCTGAAAATATAAGGGGTTTTTGCCACTTTTGCATAATTTATTGCCATTTTCTCTCACTAAAACTCTCATTTTATACGCTTTTTTTTGTTTTTCTACTTTTTTCCTCGTTTTGCAGGGGGTCTACTGTATAGTTGCAGTCTTTGATATCTTGCTAATATAAATAATGGAGGTTTTATTATGATTTATGATATTGATTTTATGAATACAGGTTTCGTTGACAGCTCAGGTTACTACACTGGAGGTATATTGAACGTAGACGATGGAGATGGAGACGGAGACGACGATACTTTACCTGGAAAGCCGGTTCTGTCAAACGAGGACGTATGACAGATGATTCATCTGGAGATAGAGGATAAAGGATAATGCTTTTTTTCTTCTAAATTTACAAAGACTGCACAATTGCAGTCTTTGATATTTTACTAATATTAAATAATGGAGGTTTTATTATGAGTATTGAATCTACTTTTAACATTGAAGAAGGTGGGGATACGTCAGTACCTGATGCAGCTGCGGTAACCACTGAAGATACGTCAGCATCTGATGCAACTGCAGTAACCACTGAAGATACGCCAGCACTTGATGCAGATGCGGTAATCACTGCAGATATGTCAGCACCTACTGAAGATGCAGGAACTACTGAAGGTACGCCAGCACCTAAATCTAGAGAAGAGGTAGCTTGGCTAAGTCTAGGCCTTGGAAGGATGCCCGATGATCAGGAATTAGACGAAGCTATGGGAATTACTGCAGATACGCCAGCACCTGATGCAGCTGCGGTAACCATTGCAGAAGATACGTCATAGATGATACAGGAATTACTGTAGATACGCCAGTATCTGCTGAAAATGTGGAGCAGCGTGCATACGACCCATTTTAGAGATCTTTAAAGGGATTTTTGCAAGAGTTGTGAGCTTTTTTTTAATATATTTTTATAGGAGGTTTTATTATGAATACTAATTTTTTCTATAATAGAGGCACATTTAATGTAGTTTATGACGATGCTAAGGTTCCTCATCTCACAGAACTTTCAGCAAAAGAGAGTGCCAAGCTTCTAGAGCAACTTAGAAATCGAACTCTAGGTCCAGATGATGAGGATGATCCTGAGGATCCTTATTCAAAGAAACCCTAGAGTGGTTTGAATCATAAACAAGCAGCGATATAAGGAACACCGCAGAATTCTCTACTACCTATTGATGTATAAATTTAATCTACAAAGACTGCATGGTTGCAGTCTTTGTACTCTTTTAATTTAATTGTTTTGTATATTAATATAAAATTTATTTTTTTAGTATAACATCACATAATTATTTATCATCATAGGTTTTATTATGAGTATTGAATCTTTCTGTAAAGACCTTGGAAGAGATTGTGAAGTTTTCAGCAAGGGTTTGTTATATGGTTTTCAATATGGGGCTACAGAAGCTAAAAAGCTAGAATATAATAATGATGCTTCTTATGAAGCAAATCACGGATTAGAAGGGCTACCCAAACTGACAGATAACGCAATATACCCTGCAACTGATCCTACAGTTTATATACCCAATGAAGATCCTCATTTGATATAAGTATACCTTATTAATAAATAATCGGAGGTTTTATTGTGGGTATTGCATCTTTTTTTGAAGAGCGTGGTAGGGAATTTTTAAATCTTAGCAAGTGGATAAGGTTTAAACGCGGAGCTGAGGAGATTTTAGAGTCTACTTCTTATGTAGCAGGTAATTCTATTGAAAACACAATAACCGAAATTCCTGCAGCAGAAGGTATATCAGAATACACTGTAGATTATAACGCACCCGAAGCTCATATGGTAATATAATATTAATTAAGTTTACAAAGACTGTACAACTACAGTCTTTTATATCTTTATTTATATCTTACTTTAAGAAAATTCTCTATAATATAGAGCATAGTATTAACCAGATATTTTGGTGGGCAAAATTTTTTCTATCAGCACAGACGACTCCTTTTTTGATGTGCTGGCACAACATGTATTTTCTGAGTATAGCACAGAAGAAATATCTGAATTGAAGATAATCATTCCTTGCAAAGCAGATGTAATAGCACTACTGAACGCATTCAAAAATTGTAGTTCTAAAGGGTGTATAATTCTACCAGAAATTATCTCATTGGAGAATATCGATGAAGAAGATTTAATATTAAACCTCGATAAAATTGAAGTAATCAACCCCACAAAGCGAATACTTTTGCTGATTGAGTTTATATTAAAGTGGAACGAGGAAAATAACGNCACAAAAAGCC